TATATACGTTTTTCAGAGTTTTGTCCACACTGTTTGAAGCACCATCACCAAAAGTCAGACCACCATATTCCCTATCAAGCTGCACATTTCAGTGTATAATTTGCATGATTTTCTTTCAGAGCTGTAAATAAATTAAATAGCTGCACCCATGACATTATTTCATTTACAGAATAATAAAAATAATTCATTTTAATGCTTCATAAACGCACAGATTCAGTTGCCCTTTAAAGAATTTTGCTACTACGGTGGAATTTTTTTCTTTTCGGTTTGTAACGCTACACATTTGCACCCGTATAAAGCATGTAGCACATTTCTAACATTTTGTGTTTGTTACATGGAGCAAACATTTAAATGTGACGTCAACAGTTAAATGGGTTCCCACTATGAGAGCACAGGACAGATAAGATAAAACAATGGAGTGAGTTTTGCACTTGAACAGCCGAGAGCTTTTCTAATTAAAAATGAGCGGATTATGGCTATTATCTGTGAGCTGGGGTCATACATATATATATATGTGCATTATTTAATGGGGAAGGAGCTGCAGGGTAAGGATGGTGAAATCAATAATTTGATTAGAGAATTAAAGGGTTGATGATGGCACAGAGAGAAATTAGAGGGATACTCAAAACATCCTAATATACAATTTGGAAATACATGTTGCTAATTTCAACATATCTCAAAAAAATAGTGGTTCACAAAGATGAAAAGCAATATATTTGATATAAGAACTGAAAATGTAAAAAAGATAAACGTGATGCTTAAAGCTAAGGATTGTGCCCATACGTACTGTAGAGGTCTGTCTCATCGACAATCTCAGACTTGATGATCTCTTCAATGACGTCCTCCAGGGTGACGATGCCCATCATTTCATAGAAGGGGTCTCCGTCACCTTCACTGTTCACTCTCTGCACCACAGCCAGGTGAGACTTACCTGCATTTGTTAGAAAGAGCAAACAGTATTCAACATGTGTAGCCAAACAAACAAACTGCGATGCAAGGGATTCAGAGGCTGCTCTGCTTGTTAAATATAGCTCTGTGTTGTCAAGAAGAAAGTTGCGCTAAGAGATCATGAACATGTGGAAGGATCAAGCCCAGTGGAGTTTTAAATTACTTCACTGTCAGGATTGCCTTTGTGTGATTTCTCAGACGAGTCAGAAGTAGACACTGAGATTAATCTGGAGACATTTTGGCAGCTCCAGAGGCTCGACCGGCCTTACGTAAACCCTGAGATTACGCAATCGGTTTGAGGATGCCCGCATCTGCTGAATTAACTGGCCATGTTGCTGCCACCTCTGGAAACGCATGCACGCTTTACACGTCCGTGAGCAAACCTCCCACTCACTGCTCAGCACGACGAGCCTGCCAGATACGGTGACGCAGAACACCGACGGCATCTCTGCACCGAGTATAAAGCAAATGTGACAAGAAGTCAATGTTCCTACAAACCTTGAATGTCACAAAACCAAAACGGGGAAAACAGAATAGTAGCACCACAGAGAGCACAGCTATTTCTGTCCGTTTTGTCTCTACTCAAACACAGGACTTCACTTTAATATGTTTCTCTTAGCATTTAATCGCTTTAATCTTTTGCAGCAAATAAGTCTGTTTGGTGACCAACACGTTACCTAACCAAACTTATGCTGTCAGTTCAGCAGCTCTAACTACAGGAGCCAAGCTGATTATTTTTTTTTTTTTTTGGGGGGGGGGGGGGATCATTGCCAGAGGATCAAATGAAACAAATGCTTTAATCCAGTGGAACATCAAGAAGAAGAAAAAATCTGACTGACTGACAGGCAGCCGTCTCCACACATCCAACTGTGTCTGTGTGAGATTGGCTGAGACAGAATTTCAGCTCAGCTTCTTTCAGGTGAATGAAGGAGGATTTGCCCTTAGCTGCTGATGCACCCAGGCGCCGCATTACATCACTCGTGTTACATAATAATCTTGCAGAGCGAAACACACTCACACACTGCAGACACACATGCCCGCGGTGAAACTGGGTCCTGCGTGGATGCTCGTTTTATTGCAAGCGATTCTGCTCCAGCGGTTTCCCAGACTCCTGCAGACTATATTTAAACCCATGTGTTCTGACTCTGCATGAGTGGTCTATTTATGAGCGTCTGTGTTTTCTGCAGACAAAATGAAGCGCCTTACACTTTACATCTTTCTCACCAACTATGTCATGCTCGTTTTACAGACGGAAATGATCGGTCATGCGCAAATTCTGAGAAAATTAAGACAAATCTGATTCTGATTTGTTACAAATGAATGTTACTAAATGAACTGAGCTAGGCATCTTTCTCTAAACTGTTGCAGAAGTAACAAAATACAGTCATGTTTTACTTTATTTTTGTTGCAAATTTATAGACCATAAAGATAAATAGTTTCATCAACACTAACTTGTTTAATTTTTACTAGGGATGCACGATATTATCGGCATGGTATCGGTATCTTCCGATATTAGCAACAAAGTTAAATATCGGACATTGGTCATTCCATCAAAATAACTCACCGATACAAAAGATGCTATATATATATATATATATATATATATATATATATATATATATATATATATATAAAGGTATAGATATAGATATATAGATATAGATATATACAGTATATATAAAAGACACTGATTTGTATGACAGCCCAGTGACAAGGATGCCTGCAGTGCCTGCACAACATAATGACATCATGCGTGCCATTGAGTTTTGTGAAAATTTACAAATTTGCACTGTTCGAGTGTTGTCATTGTGTTAGACAGAATAAACATCATAAATAAATTTGACATTAAACATAATCCAAGTTGAAGTGTTCATTTTCAGCCCCTTTTGAGGCATCTGCATTTGGTAGCAGGCCAAATTGACAAAGACCGTGCAGAATAATGTAGTATTTTAATTCCACAGTAGAGAATGTAGTCTCTATAAGTAGATCTATGAAAAAAATCGGTATTGTATCGGTTATTTGCCAAATAAGTTTTAACATATCAGCATATCGGATATTGGCAAAAATCCAATATTGTGCATCCCTAATTTTTTTAATTCTTGCCATTTTCATTGTTGTCTAACGTTTAAGGTTCAAGGTTCTTTATTGTCATTCACAACACATGTGGTGCATGAGGTGGGATGAAATTGTATATTCAAGGTCCCAGTTAAACCCCAAAAATAGCAAAAATATAAAGCATAAAAAAGAAACAGCATACAATGATCTAAGATATCCATCCATTTTCTTTACCCGCTTATTCCATTTTGGGTCACGGGGGTCGCTGGTGCCCATGTCCAGCAATCACTGTGCGAGGGGCGGGGGACACCCTGGACGGGTCGCAAGTCCATCACAGGGCCACATAGAGACAAACGAGACAAACAACCATTCACTCTCTCACTCACACCTAAGGACAATTTAGAGTTACCAATCAGCCTAACATGCATGTTTTTGGACTGTGGGAGGAAACCGGAGTACCCGGAGAAAACCCACGCATGCACGGAGAGAACATGCAAACTCCACCCAGAAAGGCCCCTGGACCGGGGTTTGAACCAGGGACCTGCTCGCTGAGAGGCAGCAGCTCTACCAGTTGCGCCACCGTGCTGCCGATCTAAGATATATGTATGTAAAATAATAATAATGTAATCTAATACAGTGTAGTAAACAGCAGCCTGAACATGAGTCGGTTATGAGCAGATGGGTATGAATACAGCAGATTAAGGCAAAAAAAAATCAGCAGCATGGATAATCAGCAGCACAGATAAAGTCACAAATAGCCAATTACAGTGATTTTTCTGGTTAGGGATTTATGACTAACAGCTTCAGGGTATAAGCTGTTCCCAGTGGTTCTACACTTAATGCCCCTCAACCTCCTGACTGAGGGGAAAATGGGGTAAAAGTGTGTATGCTGGGTGAATGTGGTCCTTCATGATGCAGGTTTACCTGAAATGCCAATTTTTCCATGTGTTGCATCACGAGAAAAGAACAGAACCTACTTTTTAGGTGAGTGAGGTTAAAAATATATATTTATACGCTATGGGGTTTATTTTCCAGTATTTAGAACATTCTTTGTTATGTTCTTGTTTTTTTGTGTGTAATTATTTGGCATGTTCAAGTCTGCTGTTCACACTCAGTAAAAACTCACTATTTCTAATGTATGTACTCGGTCTCTTCAGTTTATTGCCAGGTCGTGGTGTCACTGTTTTCTTCAATGGCTCGCTCTCCTGATGTGGTTTGTATTTTGTTATTTTGCTGCCTCAACAGCTGTTAGTTTTACTTTGCATTGCTCTTTAGATTTCCTAACAAAGGGGCCGAGATGGTGTAGAGGTAGGGCAGTTGACTTGGGCCAGAAAGTTGTAGGTTCTATTCCCTGCCGTACCCACATGTCGTGATGTCCTTGAGCAAAACACCCAATCCCTAACTGCTCCCACGGCACTTACAGCTGCTCTCTGCTCCACCTGCGTGTAACTCACGTGTGATGGGTTAAATGCAGAGAATAATTTTGTCATTGTATGATGACAACACATAGCACTTATTTCAAAAATCAACGTTGCTGTAGTTGTTTTTAACGTCAATATAAAACTAAAGGTGTGTGACACTGACAGCTTTTAAAACGTCAAATGGCAGAGATTATGAAGTGGTTTGGCAGAATCTGATCCACTGCATGCACAAATAAAAGGAAATTATTTTAAATGATTGCACCGATTTCAACAAATACTGTTGTTTGAAGAGAAACTAAAATTTTAGCCAATATCAAACGGACATATTCAGCTAAATTAGCAGGGCTTAATCTATGTCAGAGCAATAAATCCTTGGTTATTATAGTATATAAAACAGCTGCAGTCAATAAGGAATAGACCCCGCTGGACTTTTGAAGGTCTATCTCCCACAGAATCTCCAGCAGATCATGTTAGTTGAGATGAAGTGCCTCCATGGATTTCTTTTGACCCACATTCATCATGTTTTCCTGGTCTTGTAGCTGCTTTTAGCTTTTGTTGCAGCTTTTGTCTGATGCTAAAGTGGATTTCAAAAGAGATGGGTAATGTGATCTACCCAACCAAAAAGAAAATATTCTTTATCACCCTAACAAATCTGCTGCTTGTGCGTTTTTAGGGCAATCTTTCTAAACGATGAAAAGGTTCCCCCAATATGACATCCATGGTTCTCTCAGACAATCATCAAATCCAGTTTGAAGTCACAGGAGCAGCAACGTTTTAAAAAAAAGTGATGTTTTGTTCCACAAACTATTTCGCTTTTATATGTTTGCGTTAGCTTGGGTGGGATCGTTCTTGAATTATGTGTGTTACGACTGTATGTTAAGATCCTATTTGAAATTCTTGCACAACAGTCGACTAATGCGGTTTTCATTTCTGTCTTTTATCTGATGACATTTCCACCGTGTGCTCGAACATCTCGCCCCTCTCAGCGAGGCTTCCAGCCGAGCTTCCTGATCAGCAGGAGCTGTTAATCCGTAAGAGCGAGCATGAGGGACAGGCAAAGGCTGCAGATGAATTTTTTATGGTTTCGCTTCACACTTGGTGACGACCTACAACTTCAAAGTCACAGTTGGTGGACAATTAAGTTAGCTCCAACAGTGAAGGGGAGAATCCTGACCTCACCTTTGGACCCGGAGTCTGAATACCACACAGACATCTGACTCGATAGAACGCAGGGGTCCAACTTCAAGCTGTGGCTCATTTCAGACCAAAATCGTCCTTCAGAATGATGAATTAGTTGCGGCAGTAAACTTTCTGGCAATCCTAATTCAGGTTTTATGCATCTGTATGAATTGAACTAATTAATTTGTCATGTAAGCCCAATACAAGCTGGACACCACAAACATTGAGCGTATGCGATCCTGACAGTGGAGCAGTGTAAACTGCTTTCTGCAAAGCATTGATTTCAAATCTTGTTAAGTGTTTTTATTAAGATTGAACCGAGCTCCCCAAGGGAGGCAACACACATTTGCTTGACAATGAACAGAAGTCATCTCTGTGTAAGACTGTAAGTGATGCTCAAATAAACGTGTGCCAAAGAGAAAGTTACCCCTTGTTCCCATTTTGGCGACATTACGATCTTGTTCAATTTCTTTGGACCTAATACAGAAAAGCAGGACTAAATGATTTTCCGTGCTTCCATGGGAAAATTGCTTCAGCATCTCATCACTTTAACGCTTAAGATAACTCCATTCTTGGTCGTCTCTAACCTCTGGCTGAACCAAACACACTGTGTGACACAGTATCCTGTTTCACATGTGGTGCTGTGGATCAAAGGGCTTCACTGACAGACCCACTTTAAACCATGAGCTGATCCAGACAGGGACTTCTGCACAGACAAGGATGCTTTCTTCAAAGGACTTTTAACACATGGAGGTGGCAAAAAAAAGTTGCCTACTCACTAATAATATGCACAAGTATAGAAGATGTCATCAGAACTCACCTCTCTTAAACTCCTCCAGCATCACATCCAGTTTGGTGTCGCTGAAGACGCAGTGCATGGGATGCTTGTAAAACTGAGTGATGGTTTTCAGCGGAGTGCAGTCGTCAGGATCCACGAAGGCCAGATCTTTGACGAACAGGATGTCCACGATGCTGGACCTGTCGTTCTCGTAGACCGGGATGCGCGTGAATCCGCTCTGCATTATGTCCGACATGGTGCAGAAGTCCAGCAGGGCGTCCGAGGAGAGCATGTAGCAGTCTGACAGCGGGGTGAGCACGTCCTCCACCGTCTTGGTCCTCAGCTCCAGGGCTCCCTGGATGATGTTGAGCTCCTCCTTGACCAGGTCGTGGTAAGGGTCTGTGACACGCAGCATGGCCATCAGCTTCTCCCTGGTGTAAAAGTTGCTGATTTCTTGGTGCAGCATGATGTCCAGAATCTTGGAGACGGGGTAGGCGATGGGGAGAAACACCAGCATCAGCAGGCGGGTGGCGCAGAGGGTCTTGGAGGCGATGGCGAGGTTGTGCCTGGACGCCACGGAATGAGGTAAGATCTCTCCAAAAAAGAATATCCCCAAAGTGCACGAGGCAGTCGAGAGGGCAGTCATTCCTAAAATCTGGCACATCCACACCACAAAGCAGGTGTTGGTGAGCACGTTGCCCAGCACCACCGTGCACAGGATGTAGTTTCCGTGTTTACGCACGGACTCGATTTTCCGCGCGTATTGCTGCTCCTTCTCCGTGCCACTGTTCTGCAGGGCCCGCAGCTCCACGGGGTCCAGAGCCAGCATGCTGATGTTCAGACCGCTGCAGAGAGCTGACAGCCCCAGCAGGAGCACAGACACACCCGCCTGCAGCCACACATCAGCCTCTGGAGGTCTCTCAACCACAGCCAGCCAGAAGTCTTTGGTGCTGAAGTGTTCCCATTTGACGCCGTCAAACGCGCACATGGAGTAGTATTTGATCACCTCATCTCTGCGCAGGTCTTTGGCGAGCAGCTCGACCAGAACTGAGTTGTGACTCGAGGCTGATTTAAAAGAGCCCAGCAGCTCGATGTCAGAGCTTCGGGAGCTCTCCTCCTCACACGGGTTCCTCTCCGCGTCTCTCTCACCGGGCTCCTCTATGAAGGCGATCCACGGGGCGCCAGGTGCGGCGCTAAGGTTCGGGCTGTTGGGATGTTCTGAAACTGGAGACGCGGAGTAGTAAACCCTCAGCATGAAGCGCGTCCCCTCGGTGGCTCTCAGGACGCCATCCTGCACGGACAGGTCTCCGTTCTGGGTGTCTTCTGGTCGGACACCGAGCAGCGCGGATGCGGGGAACGGCAGGGTGGAGAGGAGGAGGAGGAGGAGGAGGTGGAGGGAGAGCTGGCGCGGATGCGGGATGCAGCAGGGAGCATCCGCAGCCATCATGCTGAACGAACTGGGATGTGGGGGAGAAGTGGGTCACGTGGTGCGCGGATGGATGGAGCAGTTGGTTTGTTACAGAGAGAGAGGGAAACTCTGATAAAGAGGGGAGGCAGGGGGCAACTGAAATATAAATGACGAACTCTGACGTAGGTCCGACTTGCTTTCTGCCACTTTCTAAAAATAGAAGGCAGGAGATGCCCGCATGAATGATTAATATGATTCAGCACTTGGCTCGCAGTAAAAAAAAAATACCAGTCTGAGAGGAAAAAAAACCCACACAAACAAATAACTGTCTACTATCCAGTAAGAACTAAGCTTGTTTAAAAATAAAATAGTAATGTGTGTTTAGCCAACTCTTAATTTCTTATTTTGTCTTCCTTCCTGAGAGGCCAGGCTCGTTGCCTTCTACTGTGAACCACTAGATGGCAGTATTGTCCCTTTTTTTAGATTTACCTCGGTGTGAAAGGCAGGCAGGAAGTTTGGCTTTTAAAGACTATTAAACGGGGTAAAAAAAAATAAATATATATATATATATATATTATAACTATCATCTGTATCGAGAGTAGTTATTTTTCATGGTAAATTAAAATGTATTTTAAGTCCCCACATATTGAATGAACAATCAAATACAGTTTATATGAACTGAATTTCATTAACACTAAGAGCTAAAACAGAACCCACTGAGGGGTTTTGGTCAACCAATCAAACCGAAACGATAAATTATTATTATTATTATTATTATTAAAGCTGAGTTTGAATTGGAGGAGAGACACCACTCTCCTGCTGCTGCGCTTACAGAACATGACACTTCCTGTATTCACATCAGGTGTTTACACACAACTCGAATCCCGCTTCTAGTTTGCATCAAATACAATATAAATGAACAGATTTGCTAATAATAATAATAAGAAGAAGAAGAAAAACTTTAACACCAAACAAATTGAACATGAGCTGCTCATGAAGCTCTTTCATTGTTGCCTTTTGCATCAGTTCCGGTTATTGACCATTAAGTTTATTTATATTTTTTCAACGTTTCAAAAACGCATTTTTTTATTCCTTTGCGTTTGGCACAACCTGAAACGTGCTTTTGTTTCTTCTCTGTTTTATTCTTTTTCTTTCTTTTATGCTTTCTTGATTTGAAATGTTACAGCAGTTGTTTGAATGTGCTTTATAAATAAAGTGTTAGTCACGTGATTCCAGATGTTTTATAAGGGTCATATGTAATCTGTACCGAAAACATTCAAAACTACGATGTTTGCATTACAAGGATAAAAAAAATACACCTGGTTCCTGATTAAATACAAAACTTTAGAACAATATTAAGAAAAATCTATTTACCTGAGGAAAATAAACGTTTCTATTTTGAGAAGAAACTGTGAAATACATGTAATAAAATTAAGTTGTGCAGAATTTAGAAGTTCAACTTGAAAATGAAGTGAAAGTTCATTAAAACTCATGGTTTGTTTTACATTTTAAAGGATTAACAACAACAATCAAACAGTTTCTTCTGTTTGAACAAAGCTCCGTGACATTTTATTCAACAGTAAACAAAAGTGTATGATCTAGTATTTATTTATGGAGATTGATATTTAATCTGATATATTCCACAGTAATCTTGATGTTTCCTCAGGCTCGAGTTTCTTAAAAGTCTCCCTAAAGATTTTACAGCCAACCTCTTGAACTCTTATTTATGAGCAAACAAATAAAACAGAAATAAACTTATCAGAAAATAATTAAAAAAAATAAGTTAGCTTGATATTTATTCATATTTGGTCCATTTTGACACGAAGACTCAAGTTCTGTTTTCTGTCGGTCTGCAAGAAAACTTGCGCATGCATTCCAAAATACTCATCTTCAGTGTTGGATTGTTTTGTGCTTAGAAATATAATCTTGGCTTTTACATAAAAAATAAAATAAACACTTTCCTTTCTCTTCCAACCTGCTGTTTCCCTCTGTGAGGCAGCAGTGACCTTCAACCACCACCTCTCCTCACACCGACCCTCTCCGGATCAGAGTTTTGCGCAACGCGCTTTGGAGACGCGCTGCACTTTCTTTGCATGCGTGCAAAGCCACAGTGTAAAGAAAAAAAGAAAAAAAAACAACTATATAATAAACTTATTTATAGTTCCATCTGTAGAGCTTTGGGTCTAAAATTAGTTCTGGGTGTTGTAAGAAAAAAAAAGTCCATCTACAAATAAATCTCCAAATGGGAATTGAAGAAGAAGAAGAATATGATGAAGACATTAGAAGGTTAGAAATATTTTTATTCTTTCTTTTTATCACAGCTTGCAGATTCCGTATTTTTCTTTTCATTTTATTGTAAAGAAAATGTGCACAACCAAAAACATTTTCTAACTAATCTGATCTCAAGCTGAGCTGAGTTTTATTGACTCTTGCAGCCTCATTCATTTCAATTGAGTTTTTTTTTTTTAACTGAGCAAAATTAACGTGATAAATTCTAGATCAATATTCTCACCAAATAACATCATTAATATGTTTTTATATATCTTTGATGAACACCATGTTAACAAAATGACAGAATGCATAAAGACATGCAGGTCAGAAAATAATAACTTAATCACGCTGAGCAGACAAATTGATAATTTCACTTCATCGTTCCAGTTTTTAGGTTGAATATTTAATAATGTAAATATATAAGGGACTAATAAATGCCTCCACCGCCTGTTGGACTCACTTGCTCAGGCCATCTGCAAAAACAGATTTAGATCCATGCCTCAGAGATCCTTAGAGGGGCGGTGCTGTCTCTTCTCCCAGTGTCTGGATTTCGCAGTCGGGAGGGCTGGATCCTGGATCCGGGCGTGCGCAGCTCTTAAAATGACTCAGGGGGGCGGGGGGTGGTGGTCACGGGGGGGTTGAGGGAGGAAACTAGACAGGAAGAGTGATCCAGATCGATGAGACTAAAGTAAAGAACCCCATCTGGACTTTTCCCCCCTTCTTTAAGCCTTTAATCCTCATTACGCACACGGATCTCTCCATTTCCCCCAAACCGAGAAGATGCCCAAATCCTCACCGTGCGTACCCCCCCGGCCCTCCCTGTGGCTGGCATCTCTGATTGTTTTGGTGGTGCAATCAGTGCTCTCTTCTTCCTACTCTTCCCCCTCTTCGTACCAGAGACCTGCAGCTGGTGGGAAGCGGCCGGGCTTCATGGGGAGGACGCTGGTCCTGCTGGATGTCAACACCCGCAGTTCGATCCGAGTCCTCAACGACAACTTCCTCTCGCTGCAGTTGGACCCCTCAATCATCAAGGACGGCTGGCTGGACTTCCTGAGGTACCAAACAGCTCTCCATCAACATTTATCTGCACGAGCGTCCACCTCCTGTAAATGTTGAGTGTTTTTAGTCATTACGCACGCAGCCACGTTGCCTGAACTGTCATGGGGTGATCCGGCACGTTTCTTCCTCTACAAGAGAACTCAGAGCTGCGCGCTTTTATTTAAGCAAAACATAAGAACTCATTTAACAGGGTGCAAATGCAGTCATTTAAAACTTATTCATGAACCCATTACAGCACATTCACAATGAGCCCAAAGGGGGAACCCCCCCCCCCTGTGCTCATTAGTATAAGTTCCCTCACATCTTTATAAATCCAGTTTTATCTCTTTAATTATCAAATAATTTGTTTTATTTTGACGTATTTGTTGTTTAATGGCAAAAAAAAAAAAAAAAGTTTAAACTAAAGGAATGGCATCGCAGTGTTTAAGCGAATTTCAGCTTTTATTTTGGTGACATTTCTGTTCAGTTCATTAAAACTCATTGTAAACAATTTAATCAATAATCAACAGAAACACTGACAAAACCAGTGGCTTGTTCTGAATTGTAGATCCTGAATTTCATGATGCCAGAAAATTATTGTTAATGGTCAGTGGAGCAAATTGACAAACAGATGCATTTTTATGTTATTTTAACGTTTTAATTTTTTTTTCTTTTTTTTAATATTATTTTTCCACATCAATACCAATTTTTTTGTCGTCACAGTGCGGATTTTAAATATTCTGTTGTGATTATTCATTTGGAAATAATCAACAAACTGCATGAACTGGACCTTTAATAACACGTCAGTTAAGCGAGTCAGAAAATGCTGCAGATTTGGAAATATTTCTCCTAATTAATCCCGTTAATAATCAATCACTATCACTTTTTTAAACTGTAAACTATTTACATTTAAATATGAATTGTCTGAAGCAGCAGGAAGTCTGTTTCAAGTTTAAGAAGAATAAAACTGTTTTTATCTTGTGTGTTAATTCACAGTTCAAAGCTGCGGTTAATACCTTTTTATTGAGAGAGGATCCATTTTTTTAATTCTATGTAAAAAAATAAAGAGAACATGACATGCGTTTTGTTAAAAAAAAAATCCCATGGTGGCTTTAAAACACAAAAGAAAAGTTCAACTTGGTTGAAAGAACAAAAAGTCTGAATAAGAAGTCAAACAGAGCAGCTTCCAGGTGAAAACCTGTGACGTAATATTTCAGAAAGTGTCCCTTTTCTCTTCCTGTCCTGTGTCCGCAGCTCCAAGCGGCTCGTGACCCTGGCGCGCGGCCTGTCGCCAGCCTTTCTGCGTTTCGGCGGAAAGCGAACCGACTTCCTGCAGTTCAACAACCAGAAGAACCTCGCCAAGTTCAGAGGCCCCGGGCCCGACTACTACCTGAAGAACTACGAGGACGGTGATGAGACATGACACTTCTTACCTTCTCTCATGCTTCAGGCCCGCAGCTCGCGCGCTAACTTTTTTAAAGGAAGTAGCGCGTGGCGTTTGTTCCGTCCATGTAGCTGCTCCTCTGCGTCAGTGAGCTGCCAAAGCAAAAATAATAATAAAAAAAAGGAGCAGCCTGTTTTGTCTACGCTGTGTAAATTTTTTGGTTAAATGAATAAATAAATCCGTATTTAGTTGAGGCGTAAAAGCGAAGGAAACCTTGTGCGTGATGCGTTCATGGTCCTTTCATGACTAAAAAAAAAACGAAAACGGTTTTTTAACAAGTTCTCTCGAGCCTCACATTGTTTAGTTTTTATTTAAATAAGCTGTCATTTCTAAATTGTGGGAAAAAATGCCTAATTTAATTTAACTTGCACAGTAAGACATATTGCAGAGGGTTCCCAATTGCTGGTCCCAAGGACCAACACTGGTCCGTGGATGTTTGGAACCGGCCCCACAAAAATGTAAACAGAACAAAACAGGTATTTTATTTTGAAAAAAACACCACTTCCATCCTCTCCTGTTTCTTGCACTTTACTCAGTCAAAATTCATTTTCATGCATTCACAAAACTACAAGCTAATAATAATTAAAAAAAGAGTAAAAAAACCAAACTTCACTGGTTGGTCTTGTATGAAACTGGTCCATGCTGCAAAAAAAGTTTGGGACCCCTGGAGCCCTTGTGCAGTAATTTACAAAATAGCTTATACAGGAAATACAGTTATTAGAGACACGATTTGCTGCAGTTTGATCACATATGTATAGTTTTATTTGATGACATTTTAATGACACAACAGTAACAGTTGAGAAAAAGGCAGAAGTAAAATATTGTTTCATTTACTACAACTTTCCAAAAAAAAAAAAAAACTATCAGTTTCTTCTGTGCTGTTTTGCAGACATCGTGCGCAGCGACATCGCCCTGGACAAGCAGAAAGGCTGCAAAGTGGCCCACCACCCTGACATAATGCTGGAGCTGCAGAGGGAGAAGGCGGCCACCACGCAGCTCGTCCTGCTGAAAGAGCAGCTCTCCAACATCTACAGCAACATTACAATAACAGGTAGGAGACCAAACACACAGGCTGACTTGGTGTGGTTCGGACATGTTCTCTGGACTCTGTGGCTCACGCACACTCGTGCACAAACCAGTGTAAACCATCAGCTTTTCAGAATGACAAATGTAATTTCAGGAGAAGGAATGCAGGGATGGATAGTGGGGTGCAGCCGTGGAGGCTTGTAAACAGTGTGCAGACATTTTTTCTCATTATAGTTAAAGCAACCACGTCTGCAGAAGGAGCGTTGGAGTCCTGGTTCTGGGTGGGCTGCATTTTGTACCTGTGATTGACTGGAATGGAAACAGAGAGTTGCAGAAGAGAAGAGGCGCATTTAAAAGATGACGGTTTTTGAAAACATGGGCGTGGCTGTGAATTGTCAGAGATGATTTGTTAATAGTATTTTTGTGGGCTTTTGTAATGCTAATTACAAATTAAACCTTACCTGGTTGGGGAGGGGTGAATACAACAATGGATCCTCTTCATAAATAATAAGTTAAAATTTTTAGTCGCCCTTTTCTTTTTTTAAATCTTGTTTTTCTTGTCATCTCAAAGAATTGTGAGTGGGGAGTTTTTTTTTTCTTATTGTTTTATTTGGGCAGTATTCTTATTCCAAAACAGAGTCCCACCCTGAAAGCAAGTCTAAAACCCAAAGAGCTTGTGGAAAAGTAATTTCGAACATGAACGTGAGAAACTCCGACGTAGAGAATACATTGATTTAGTTCTGGGGAGCCAAAAATCATTCTTACAACGGCTTCCAATTAAAAGTCTAGACGCAGCAACGTCGTCAGCCCTCATGCGCTTCGGGTCCTGGAACGTGTGAAACATTCGGCCAAGTGTCTTTTAAAGACGCTGATAAATTACAGAAAACAAACACTCCAGATCTACCTCAAGTGAATTCATCACTCATATTGGGAGAGCGGAGCATATCTGTATTTCTTATGTATTCATATGGTTCTGCTTTTCTGGGACAAAGTGACTTTCTGTGTGTGGGATAAAGAGATACGAGCAGCATAGATCAGCGGTATATTTTCAAGTATTCTCCAGTGCAGCAGTCCAAACATAGCGTTGCATTTATCAAAGTAGGCAAATACAGTAAGAATTTAGGCCTGAATGTGTGAGGGGTCAGTTCACAAGTTCAGTGCAGGAGTTATGTACTGTAAGTACTACGAATGTTTTAAACCCGCCTTCAGGAATTTATACAAATCATTTTTTAATCAAGCATGAAGATATGTATGATAATGCGGTGGCAAGTTGGCCGTCATTTAAACAAAATTAAAAAGTTGCACTGTGTAATAAAAGTAATGATAATGTAAACATTGTCACTTTTAAAGCTATCAGCTCTCATAACAAGTCACAACCAAATTTCTTTAAATATATAACTGCTAAAATAAAATGTAAGGCTGTTTTGATGAATGGTTTTTGAGCTTTGGAAATGTCATTTAAAACAGCTGAGCCATCAAAATAATGCTTTTTTTAATTTCTCATTTTATAAAATAAAGCGGGTTTATTAAAATGGAAAAGGCAAAAAAACAAAACATAGTTTCCTTTTTACCACCAATATCTCTACAGTGACTTTTGTATAATTGTTTATTTTTGCTTTGGCCTGAATAATTGCACATGTATTTGAACGACAAAACTGTATCTGTAAACCAAATGCAAACGTGTATTCAAAAACTTTATTTTATAGCAGCCAAATAAATGAAACTGTTTGCAGCCTTTATTATTATTTTTGTCCTAATCTTTAATAACTGAGAACTAAAGCCGGCGATCTAAAAGCCGTCCAGAATAATCAACCAAGCAACAAAAAATGATGTTGTATGACCATCATCCTACCTTTTAACAAGTATAGTGCATAACTAAGGCACATTTTTTTAAATTAAACATGCAAATGCTAATATTGCTGTATCTAATGTTACTATAATTACACAATGTTGTATTTTTTTTTCTTCTTTATACTGTCATACAAATATTCTCTAATTTGTTTTCCTTTCTATCCTGTTGACCTACTCAGACCAACTCTATGTCTATATATATATATATATATATATATATATATATATATATATATATATATCTATTTGCAAGTAAAAAAAAGTTAATTGAAAATTGATGCTGTGTAAAGTTAAAGTGATGCACAAAAAATGCTATTTTTACCACGTGGATGGATCAGTAGAAGATTTTGTTTCCCATATGTTGGGATATCTTGACCAGGTCGTTAATGAAAATGAGAATTTGAGGTCAAATAAAATAAATAAACTAAATATGTTGAATCTTTGCTCATTAAGATGTACACATTGCGCTAAAAGGTACAACACAGTTGATTTTGAAAAGGTGCCGTAACTGTTTTTAGACTGTTTGGTACCAAAGAGTGTGACAAAACCATGAAAAAAATAATTTACTAAAACGCAACTCACGGTGAAATAATCTTATGGCTAATTTGCCTTTTTTAATTTTTAATTAAAGTTTTTTTAAGCAAATACTTAAAACTACAGATTTAGGAAATGCCAGGATATTTTTGATTGATGCCTGCAATAGTGCAACTGTTTTTTTTAATTGTTTTTATTCTTATTATTTTGCTTGGTGCTGAGGATTCACATTATTCCATTAGAGAAAACTAAATAAATGATGACACTGAAGAAGGATTAAATGTGTGAACATGTTTGACTTTAGCTCTCAGTATTATTCTGAGTTGAACTGAAAGCATGCGGCACGAACTAGAATCTGTGGAAAGACTTGTCATCTTTTCAGTGGAGGGAAACGGGTACAGAGGCACTTGGGATGTGTTTAAACAATCTGGGAACAATTAGTCAAGATTTGGTGTACGTGAGTGTGTGTGTGTGTGTAAAGGCAGGTGGTTAAAAGACCTTTAACAGTCTCGCTTCATCCTTTTCTACTCACCACTGTCTGACCTTTGACCCGGGCTTGTTAGAGCCATCAGTAATGGGGCCACTATGAGTTAGCATGTGCACACACATTCTGCAGGGGAATTAAGTTGAGAAATGAGCCCGGCCTCAAACAAGGTCATGGTCAGCGTCATTTCATGTCTTTCTGCAGAAATATTCATGCAGGATCAGATCGTGATTTCTTTTCTTTTGTCTACCCCTTCACTTTTATTTTTCCTCCTGATCCACAAATAAACCCACCTCCCTGCCTTCCTCTCCTATGTCTGCTATTAGATTAGTTTGTGTGTGATTGTGGCCTGTTGTAAATGAGGTAACACTTCTGATCTCAAGAATATATCTTTTTATTTTGTTATTTTTGCTAACTAAGGACAGTGGAGCCTCTCATCACCCACTTTATTTGGTACAATTAGCTATTACTGGGTTCAACTCCTTTTTTGCCTACAGATCTGCCTTTTTTTCTTCACGGCATAGATTGAACAAGTTGTTGAAAACAGTCCTCAGATTTTGGTTCATATTGACATGATGGCATCATGCTTTAGCTGCACGTCCATGATGTGAATCTTCCATTTCACCACATCCTAAAGGTAATTGATTGTACTGCAACCTGATGACTGTGGAGGCCACAGGAGTCCAGCGACTTGAGACTAATCGTACCAGGAATTATGTTTCCATTCTCTTATTGCCAGTTTTGGTGACTCTGTGTAAACTGTATCCTCAGTTTCCTGTGTTTAGCTGACAGGAGTGGTGCCCGGTGTGGTCTTCTGCTGCTGTGGTCCATCTGCTTCAAGGTTGGTCATGCTGTGCATTCAGAGGTGGTATTCTGCTCACCTTTATTGTAACAAGCGGTTATTTGAGCCACTGTTGCCTTTCCATTATCTCCAGTCATTTGACCCATTCTCTGATTTCTGACATTAACAAGACAATTTTGTCCACACAACTACTGTTCACTGGATGTTTTCTCTTTTTTAGACCATTTTCTTTTATCTCTAGAGATTATTGTGTATAAAAATCCCAGTTTCCCAGCATCCCAGCAGTTTCTGAAATACTCAGCGGCGCAGGCCATCTGGCACCAATAACCACACCACATTCAATGTCACGTAAAGCTCCTTTCTTCCTCATTCTGATGCTCCAGCTGAACTTCAGCAAGTTGTCTTGTCTACGTCACGCTTAAATGCATGGAGTTGTGGTCATGTGATTGGCTTTGATTGAGTTAACAAGGAGCTCAACAGGTGTACCTAATAAACAAGTAAATGAATGCAGATAAAATGGAAAAGCAAAACTAAAAGGTAGAATGTTATTAGTAGTATTAGTTAGATGTCAGATGTTTCATTTGAGCAACAGTAATTTGCTAATTATTTAAAGATATGTATATTTTAAGTGATTTACCTGAGTTTTTCTGCCACTGATGTAAACTTTTCTGTTCAACCAGGTATTCAAAAAGTTTCTGAGCGCAACATCATTGAAATATGTGATGGATTTGGGAATAAAAGTGAGGGACACAGTGGTAAAACTGAGACATGTTTTCGCTTTAGAAAGTTTCTATAAGTAGCCAAACTGAGAGAAAATCAGATTATCAGTGGACAGAGCAGAAATACAAGGATTTTTATTGTCATTCACATCACATGTGGTACATGAGGTGGAACGAAACAATGTACATCGAGTCCCAGTTACATCCAACAAAAATACAAATTGCAAAGAAAAAACCTTAGTATTATCCGAGTCATGAACTAAGAATATGCTACATTCACTAAACTAAGAATACACTAAACACTAATGGTACAAAAAAAAACAATGCGCCAAGACAACAGCAGCACAAACATGAGTCCGTATGAGCAGATGAGGACTAATGAACACAACATGAAATAATCAGCATCATGGCTAGTCAGCAGCACATATCAACAACCAAGTGGCATTACAGCGACTTTCACAGTTTTTTTTTTTATTTTCACAGTAATTTTCACAGTGATTTTTCCTGTTTAGAGATGCATGAGTCTAACAGCCTCAGGGTAGAAGCTGTTCCTTAGCCTGATGGTTCTTCACTTAATGCCCCTCAGCCTTCTGCCTGAGGGGAGCAGGACAAAAAGTGTGTGCTGGACAAGTGGG